TAAGATGAGGACAACTGTGAGAGCATTAGATTTGAGGTAGGTATCAGGAGTTTGGTTTTGGGCAAGTCTGAGTTGCCCACTGTATATTCAGGTCGAGCTATCCAGTTGGATTAATGAATCTGGAGTTCAGATTAGAAGTTTGGTCTTAGTATAAATTTGAGAGTCAGGGTTTTACTAAGTTAAGAATCATTGTGGCTAGAAAAAAGCAAAGGACCAAGCCCTGGGTCACTGTGCTATTAAATGTTTGGAAAGACAAGGAAGAAACAGGGTGGGAAATTGAGAATAAATGATCAGTTATGCAGCCAGAGAACTAATAGTGTGTCTGTCTTGAAACTAAATGCCACAAATACTTTTAAGTGGAGGGGGTAGATGAGTTGTAAGAATGAATGGTTGGATTTGGCAATGTGGAAATTGTTAGTTCTCTTGACCAGAACAGAGATTGGGCACCAGTGTAATCTTACTTAGAGTGGACTAAAAACAAATATGGGAAGACTGGTGGGAATGTAAAATGTGCAGTTACTGAGGAAGATAGTTTGGTGTATCATAAAGTATAACAGAATTATCATATATGACCCAGCAATTCTATTTCTATGTATATACTCAAGAGAATTGAGAAGTGTACTCTAACAAATAGATGTACATTATGTTCCTAGAAGTACTATTTATAATGGCCAAAAAGTATAGACAACCCAAATGTCCATCAGTGGAGAAAGGAATAATAGCCTTTTCAGAAAATTGTGGATCTTGTTTTCTGAAAGTTCACCAAACTCATTAAGTTGTAATTATTAAGAGAAAGAAGTTGCCTGGTACATATTCAACAAACAAACATTTGTTAAATTAATCCACCCATCCATCATCCATCTATCTACTCATCCCCTCATCTGCTTTCTGTCTTCCAAATTTTTGGATCCTCTTTTAGAATTTATTTCTTCAGTTTTATTTGTCTTTATAGGTTTATGTTTTTTTCAGGGAGGCATTTTTCTGAAGGAGATGAACTCATGTGTCCCACCTGTGAAGTGGTATTAAAGGTATTAGTTTAGGCAACTTGTTAGATACTGGAAATATAGCAGGGAAAAAACGTCAAGTTTCTGCTGTATGGTATTTTAATTTAGTTTGGATTGTTTGACTACTTGAAATTAATTTTTCAGTCAGTAGTAAAGCTATACAATTTCTAACTACAGCAGATGATAGATGAATAGTATTTAAAAGTAGGTAATCTTTACAGATTTTTTTAGTTGAAATCATTCAATATTTTTTTTATGACAAAACTTGATTTATTAAATGACTATGGGTCAGTCTACAAAATTAAAAATTATAAAACAATAAAATCTTTAAAAACAAAAAGCCACATCTTACTACACTGATAGACAGTGACTGCAGTGGGGCATGGGGGGGCACTCGATAATGTGGGTAAATGTAGTAACCACATTGTTTTCCATGTGAAAGCTTCATAAGAGTGTATATCAATGATATCTTAATTAAAAAAAAAGAAAAGCCATGTTACCAACTGCTTTCAGATACATTGCCAGTTTTAGATATCTAAATGAAGTTATTTTTAAGTTTGTGGGGAAAGTTAAAGATTGCTAGAAAGGAGTACCTTTTCTGGTGATATTTGCATATTTACTTTAAAATTTGAAATTATTTTGGTACATTTTTATCCATTGATGAAAAGAATTGCATTTAACTGGGTCAGAATAGGCATTTATATATAAAACTTTTTAGGCTTTTGGGGCAGTGTTTGTCATTGGTTAATACATCTTTTTAAAAATTTGAAATAATCATATTTGACCTGATTGTTTATAGTTCATGATGCATGATCAAATCGAAAGTTTCTGTGATGACTGCCTTTGCACTGTTCACCATGTAAGAACTTATTCACTATGTAAGAACTTGTTCACCATGTAAGAACTTGTTCGTTATGCTTCAGAAGATTGGAGAGTGTTGAGAATTAGGCTTCGGGTTGATTAATGATTGTGCATTGAGTCCCCTATACAGAATTTTATTGTTGTTAACCATATGATCAATGAATATGAGAGATGCCCTCTCAAAAAAAAAATTTGAAATGTCTAAGATTTATAAGGGAAATATTTTGATATTTAGATGGAAAACATTAGTATTCATTGTTCAGATTGGATTTGAATGTATGGAATTAATTGTGGTTCATATTTTTGTCAGAAAGTAAGGTCATGTTCTACATTAGCATTCTGAAACAGTTTATATCAATCCAACAAAAATCATGTCAAATTAAATGTAGCGTTTAAAAATCATGTTGAAAATTGTTCTTGTAATGCTTGAGTCCTTTTAATCAATTAATTGCTTTTCTCTACAATAATTGTACACAGCTGAAGGGTGATCAGGTTTAAAATATTCAGCTTCACTTTTTTAGATTATAGAATTGTACTTTAAAATAGCCACCTTGTGTATAGCAGTTCCAAAAGTATCCAATAAATAAGGGCTTATATAAAACACTTTGTTATAAAAAATGAAAATAATTGATTTTCAATATAAATATGGTTACCATGCTTAAAATAAAAACTTTTCAGTTTAATAAGTTTTATTTGACCTAACTTGAATACAGATTTTTAAAAAAAGATTTGATATTTGATTTTGCATTGAAGTATGAAAATATATATTTTATAAGAATGAGGGTTGCTGAAACATTAGCAAACATGGACAGAATATCTTTTTAAAAAAATCTCTACTTGGAACAGTTTTAGGTTTAAAAAAAATGGCAGAGATAATAAGAGAGTTCAGATATACTCTTCTCCAGTTTCCCGTTGTTAATGTCTTTTGCTGTCACAGTAGTTGTGAAAATGAGGAAACCAACATTGATGCTTTACTGTTAAATTCCTGACTTCAATTGAATTTCATAATGTCCTTTTGGGTAACATGATTCAAACCAGGATACCACACTGCATTTAGAAAAGTACCCTTTAAAATTAATTATCTAATTTTGGATACATATAGTATGCTGTAAGCTTCAGGGGAGTTAAGAATATTTTTTTTGATCAGCATCTAGATTAGTACTTGTTATCTAGCATGTATTCAGTATTTGCCTGATTGAGTGAATCTGTGAGACATACTATGAGACACATACTTTGAAAGTAGACAGCCATGAATCTACTTCCCTCACAGAAATAGGTTCTGTTGAATCTGTTTTTGTTTTTTTCACAGCTTTCTTCCTGATTACAAATGGGAAGAAATCTTAGAAGTGATTGAATATATAATATGAATTGAGGTTAAAATATATGCAAATGTTTGGCAGACTATATGAGCCATTATAGCTACACTGCTTTCATCTTTTTAAGCAATGTAGTTAAGAGAAAGGAGTTAAAGTAAGATGGCATTTAAATTCTCTGTATGAGCTTAGATTGGTGTATTCAACCTTTATACCATGGATAATTTGTTACAGCTGTTTTTGCTGCACCTGTTTTCCTGCTTAATAATGAAATTTCCGGAATCTTAAAGTTGGTCTTGTTTCCATCAAATCATCATAATAATGACAGTTTATTGCCATTTAATCTTAATATGATTGACTTTTTATTCTTATATTGTTTCTTAGCTCACTGAAATGCAAGCTGAGAGTAGTTATTACAGCCCTCAAAAAGTAAAATCTAAAGAAGCATTGTGTTGGGAGCAGGAAGGAACTACAGTTGAGGTAATATTGCAACACTGAATGTATGTTTTTAAAATCTTTTGAATGGTCCTTAAAGTTAATATTTAATAAACACAGGCTTTTATCATAAGTGGTATGTTTAAAAAATGCGTAATTTCATATTTCTGTTTAAGTGGTCAGTAGTGTTGATTGAAATTATTCCTTTAACAAAGATTTTACTTTGTAATATGCAGTTTAATTCTTTAATTTAGCTTGTGTGTGGTCATATGTATGTTTATGGATTAATGTTTATGAAGTACCAGTCATTGAGGATACAAAGGTTTGAGGATACATAGACAGTTAAGATGTTTCTTACTTTAACAGGGTTTATGATCCAAGGAGAATAAATTTGGGAAAGCCATAATCCTAAAAAAGTTTCATCTAATTTAGATATGCTATAAGGAAAACATGTAATTTTTTAATGAAATTGAAGTTCTTAGTTGTAATGTTTCCTTTCCTCTTATAGGCCCTTATGATGGGAGAGCCTTTCTTTGATTGCCAGATTGGTTTTGTAGGTTGCAGAGCCATATGCCTTAAAGGAATTATGGGTGTTAAAGATTTTGAAGAGAATATAAATAGAAGTGAAACTGTAAGTCAAAGTCTACCTTCCCCCTTTTCTGGTTTGAATGCAGGGATAATGAAGTGCTTATTGAAGTGTTTAACTATACCAAAAAATCTGTTAAGACTACATATATAACTTTGGTTTGAGAGAGGAACTTTACTGTTTTTTCCTCTAAGAAATAATAGAGTTCAGGAGACTTTAGAAAGTTGGTAGCAGTTAACACCTGGACAGTAGGTCCAAATATTTTCCAATTCCTAAATGTTTTTTCTATTTTGTTTATGGTGGCTGTTTGCAGTTCCTTTTTGGTTTGTTAAAAAGTTCTTTGCCAAAATAGGAACTGAAGATGGAGACAGCATTCCTTGTCTTTTTTACAGGACTTCATGTTGTAGTGATTTCTCTTGACTACTTGCTGGGTGTTACCAAACCAAGGTTTTATTTTCTTTAATAGTCTGATGATTTTTCCTCCTGTTTAAAAATTTTGCTTGTATTTTCAGGAAGCCTGTTTCTTCATTTGTGGTGAAAGTTTGAGTATGAAAGGTTTAACATACCTTACAAATTCATTGTTTGATTACCGAAGCCCAGAAAATAATGGTACTCGTGCAGAATTTATCTTGGATGCAGCTCATCATAAGGTCAGATAATATATATTTGAGCCAAATTCTAGGCTGTGTTTGGGTGGAAACTTTGTGTGGGTACTTGTGTTTGCCATCTTTCTTCTTAATAATTCTGAATGCAAGTTGTTTAATGAAATATTCAGAATATTTTCATCAAGCTTCTACATCTAGAAAGGTTTGAGGAGTGCACAAAGATCTCTACTTTTATATAGTATGTGACCACAGTTACTTTAGGGGAGTGGGGTAAATAGGCAATGATGAAGAATTTCACATTTTACTACATATATATATATGTCTTAGTATTGTTTGACTTTTTCATATAAGAGTATATTACTGTACTTAAGCAATAAATTGAAAAATTCAGTTCCCTGAAGATATTATAACCCTTCCCTCTATAGATTTACTTTTAGGTTCAAATTAAAAGATTTAATTTTGGCTTGCATAATTAACATACATCTTAAATATTTAAGTATATCTTAGTGTTTCAACTGTTTCAGGTAAGTGTAATGATATATTTAAGGATTAACTCTTTGAGAGTATATGATATTAGACAGTTTTATGATAGTGATAAAGGTCAAGAGTACTATCCTGTACCGTTATAGGAATTCATTAACCAGACATTATTGGTAAGGTGATCAAAATATCTGGTAGAATTATGAATTTTGTGTGTGTGGAGACTATATAGTAAAGGTAACATTTTGTAGAAGTGAATTCTTTGGATAACCTCTCTTGTTTTGGTAATCCTTTGAGTTGATACATATTCTATGTAAGGATGTGTGTCTGACTGTTAACTTGTCAGGTTTTAACATTCTCTTTGTTTTGCTTTGTTTCACAGGAGACATATACTGAGATGGCTGGAATTCAAAGATTTGGGGCTTTTTACATGGATTATCTCTATACATTGGAGAACACCAGTGGCAAAGGTACTGGTTTCTTTCCTTTATGTTTGCTTTTCATTGAACAACAGAAAAAAAAGGCTTCTTCAGAATCAGTGGGTCCTTAGCTGGTTGTACTCTGTTACATCAGATATACTTTCTGTTACTTTGGAGAATGGTTTAATTTTAATGTCATGTTAGAATTTTGTTGGATTGTAGACATTTTTAGTCCTTTCCTTGAGCAGCTGAGAGGACATTTTTTATTATCAACTAGAATTAGTTCTAATATATACCAAATATGAAAGATTTAATATATCAAATTTCATATTAAGCTGCAAGAAACCTAAACATTGTCTTTTATGTATGAAGTACATTTTGAAAATTGTATGCCTCTTTTTACCAAAAAAGCTTGTTTTAAGTAGAAAAGTAGTTGTCCTAGAAACTATGGACAGAATCTTTCATTATTTTATTATGTGTTTCATTTTATTATGTTAGCAATCAACTTTAACTATTTGATATATTATGTGCACATCCATATACTATGTTGTGACTATTATTCCAGTCTTTTTTCATATTGAAAATGTAATGAAAATAGGTTCACCTTTTTTCTTGTTAATTTTTCATATTTTAATGAATGATTTGTGTGTTAGGAATGAATTAGATACTGTGAATGCAAAGACCAAGGCATTTCTCAAGAGACCAATAGGTAGTGTTTAACTATACACTTAAATAAGTGATTATAATACAGCATATTAAGAACAGTGGTGTAACAGAGAGCTAAGGTAGTTCCAGGTAAGAAAGTGACTACTTTTGTCTGTGAGGTCAGGTGTCACAGAGGAGGTGGTCTTGAAGATTCATTAAGTTTTGTTAGATGAAAACGGAAGGAAGAACAGTAATTTTTTGCTTCCTCCTTTTGTAATGGATTTCTAAATGTTGGCATTCTCATTGACCAAACCTTGGATTCACTTCTTCCTCTAAACTCTTTCTTGAAGTAATCTTACTCTTTTCCATATACTAAGTATCTTTTATAAGTATCTTTAATATTTTGTTGATATTTGTATTTTTTAAAATTTTTACAATTTTTAAAATTAAGTATTAGTGATATACACTCTTACGTAGGTTTCACATGAAAAACATTCTGGTTACTACATTCACCCATATTATTGAGTGCTCCCCCATACCCCATTGCAGTCACTGTCCATCAGTTCAGTAAGATGCCAGAGTCACTACTTGTCTTCTCTGTGCTACAGTGTCTTCCCCATGATCCCCCCCACACACCATGTGCACTAATCATAATAACCCTCAATCCCCATTTTCCTCCCTCCCCACCAGCCCTCCCACACCCCTCCCCTTTGGAACCACTAGTCCCTTGTTGGAGTCTGTGAGTCTCCTGCTGTTTTATTCCTTCCGTTTTGCTTTGTTGTTATACTCCACAAATGAGGGTAATGATATTTGTGTTTTTTAGTCTAAACTTTTTCAAGATTTACAATTAAATATCCAATGCATACTTGACATTTTAATTCTGTACCCCACAAATGTCTCAAAACTGAGTATGTCCAAATTGAATTATTAATATCCCTGACCACCTACTGCATGTTGCTTCTCCTTTATTTTCAGTCTTCTCAGAAAATTTTTCTACTGTTTTCTAGTTGCTCAAGTCAGAAACCTGGGAATTGTCATGACACATTCCTTTTCTCCTAGCATCCAGTCTATCAACACATTCTATCAAATTTTCTCTCCAAAATCTATCTTGAATTCATCCACATCTTGTAAGCTCCACTGTTATCACTCTCACCCAGTCTCCTATCATCTCTAGACTAAAATAATTTTTTTACTGGCTTCCTGCTTTCACTCTTGCCTTCCTATAATCCATACTGTAGTCAGATAAGGTTTAATTCCATGCTTTAATTCAATTCCTTTGCATTGCTTTATTTAAAAATAAAGTTTTAATAGTTTATCACATTTTGGTCTTGAGGTACTTGTTGGATGGTGATAACCACTAAGGAAGATGAGAGACAAGAAGGGAAGATTTTTTGTGGTACCTGTGAGCATCAAGGTAGAGATGTTCAGGAGACAGTTAGGTATGTGAAATTTCAGCTCAGAAGCCTATGTTCTAAGGGTTTTGCAAATTTTTATGGTGCTATGGTTGACAAATGTAAGCTGGTAAGGTTCTTCTTGTTCAGTATGATGCCTCATGCATGTGCTATGGATTTGTTATCTTGTGAGGAGGTGGAGTGTGAAGTTGCCTTTTAAGTAAAGGAAACTTTGCATTAAAATTTTTGTTATTTTACACAAGCTGCTTCTATAGTTTTAAAAAAGATATATACATGATTATATTTGCTAGGGGGTTTATGTATTTTCTGTCTGAGAAGCTGTAATTTGTTTGCTTTTGAATTCTTATTTTTCATTTCTGTGAATAATACACAATGTCACAGATAATAGTCCTTCACTTTATTTTAAACAAAATGTTGGATGATAAGACACAAAAAGGTTCTATACATTTATGTACGGAATAGCAAAGTTCTATGCATTTATAAAGTAAACACCTGTGTATTTTTCACAGAAGCAAGAAATAAGACAGTGTCAACATCTGATAAGATTCCTGTGTTTTCTTTTCTATCATACTCTCCTCCCTCCCTCATTCACTAGAGCAAACTGTTATTCTGAGATCTGTGATCATCATTTTCTTGCTTTTGGTTTACAGCTTTCATATCTACTTTGTCAGTGGTACAAGCAGATAATTTATTTTTGAGGAAATAACATTCCACTATTAATTTTTGTGAATGGCACATGTACTTTAAGAATGTGTTCATTCATTCACTTGATAATCTCTTCCTTCATTCCTTATCTGCTTTTAGGTAGCTATGTTTATGTTTGTTTCTCATTGTGAATCTGCATTCATAGTGACGGTGATGGTGTTGATAATAAGTAGCTAATACTTACTCAATGGCTTTAAATACAAGGCAATATTTTGGTGTTTTACAGGTATTAGCTTCTTTAATCCTCATAATAACCCTGTAAAGTAGAAAACATTTTACATTTTAGAGATAAGGAAAAATCCAGTCCAAGACTTCATACTTATGTGAAATTTGACAACATAGCCCGTATTCATAATCACCGTGTTTAGATTTTCTTCTTTCTTGAACTACTGGAAACAAGAAACTTCTAGAATTTTTATTGCTTAAAGAACCTAAGGTATTTTGAACTCTCACAAGAGGTAATTTTATGTACTTCAAAGAAATATTTTATCTAAAATTCTTGGTTTGTAATGACTCGACACATATTGGTTCTGTGGTCCAAACTGATAAAAAGTGCCCTGAGTTTTATCTAGGTATCTAAATAACTAAAAATTTCACAAAGTTTCTAGTGAGTTCTGAATTTTCAAAGCAGATTTGATTGGTTTAACGAAGCTTGTAATACTATTCTAATTAACATAAGAAACCAGTAAATGCAGTAAGGAAAAGAGCTTGTATTATTTGTTTATGTTGATAAATGATTTAGTAGTATTTTACCCACATTATAAAATGGCATATAAATTAAACTTCAGTTAACATGTTTCCTGTGGTACTGCTTGATATTGATAAGCACCGTCTGACAATTATTTTGTTTTTGTTACCTTACTCAAAAGCATTCAAACAATGTTTTAAAGACCAAATTGAAATATTTCTTACTAATATAACTGCCTGTTTAGGAAGTTACTGCAAATGTTTTTGTGGACCTTAAGTAGATAGATGAAAGCATACTTTTTAAGAATTTTGGTATGATTAATCTACAATTACATGAGCAACATTTTAACATTTTGGTTACTAGTCCCCACCACCTACTCCATTACAGTTACTGTCCATCAGCAAAGTAAGATGCTATAGAATCACTACTTGTCTTCTCTGTGTTGTACTGCCTTCCCTGTGCCCCACCCCCACATTATGTCTGCTAATCATAATGCCCCTTTTTCCCCCTTGTCCCTCCCTTCCTACCTATCCTCCTCAGTCCTTTTCCCTTTGGTACTTGTTAGTCCATTCTTGGGTTCTGTGAGTCTGCTGCTGTTTTGTTCCTTCAGTTTTTTTCTTTGTTCTTATACTCCACAGATGAGTGAAATCATTTGATACTTGTCTTTCTCCGCCTGGCTTATTTCAGTGGGCATAATACCCTCTAGCTCCATCCATGTTGTTGCAAATGGTAGGATTTGTTTACTTCTTATGGCTGAATAATATTCTTTTGTTTATATCTACCATATCTTCTTTATCCACTCATCTACCAATGGAGACTTAGGTTGCTTCCATTTCTTGGCTATTGTGAATAGTGCTATGATAAACATAGGGGTGCATCTGTCTTTTTCTAATTGGGCTGCTGCATTCTTAGGGTAAATTCCTAGAAGTGGGATTCCTGGGTCAAATGGTATTTCTATTTTGAGCTTCTTGAGGAACCTCCATATTGCTTTCCACAATGGTTGAACTAATTTACATTCCCACCAGCAGTGTAGGAGGGTTCCCCTTTCTCCACAACCACGCCAACATTTGTTGTTGTTTGTCTTTTGGATGGTGGCCATCCTTACTGGTGTGAGGTGATATCTCATTGTGGTTTTAATTTGCATTTCCCTTATAATTAGTGATGTGGAGCATCTTTTCATGTGCTTGTTGGCCATCTGAATTTCTCCTTTGGAGAACTGTCTGTTCAGCTCCTCTGCCCATTTTTTAATTGGATTATTTGCTTTTTGTTTGTTGAGGTGTGTGAGCTCTTTATATATTTTGGATGTCAATCCTTTATAGAATATGTCATTTATGAATATATTCTCCCATACTGTAGGGTCCTTTTTTGTTCTATTGATGGTGTTCTTTGCTGTACAGAAGCTTTTCAGCTTGATATAGTTCCACTTGTTCATTTTTGCTTTTGTTTCCCTTGTCCGGGGAGATATGTTCATGAAGAAATTGTTCATTTTTATGTCCAAGAGATTTTTGCTTATGTTTTTTCTAAGAGTTTTATGGTTTCATGACTTACATTCAGGCCTTCGATCCATTTTGAGTTTACTTTTGTGTATGGGGTTAGACAAT